AATCAGATTCTTGTTTTTTTATTTGTTGAATTTAACATTTTTTAAATAAAATAATATTATTCATAGTGATACCTTACCTTTAATAATTAATAAATAAACATAATAATATAATATTGTTATAATTGTTGATACTAAATATATTATATCATATTATAATAATATGTATTAATAATTTAGACACCTACATACCTACTACTAATTTCAATATTCTTTTAAAGGTCTTTGCATTTAAAATGTGGGATGTGTTATAAATGTATTGTCTTATAAGAAATAATTGAATTTTAAATAATAAAGTAAATGTAAGACCATTGAATACATTGTATGCAATTATCATTACAATCTAAAGTATCAAACTAAACATTAATAAATTCAAATGTATTTAATTATTGTAGGTTTTTACTTATTGAACTATAATAACTTATCCGCATTAATACCTATATCTATATTCTAGCTACTACTATCTCAATTATTATTTTTCATTATTGTTATTTCGAAATGTATCTTATGTGGTTATGTATATCTGTATAATTGTTGAGCTATCATAGTTTACATTAAAAGCTAAACAACAAAACTCATCCATATTATTCAATTCATTTTAATCGGGTCTAATAATGTAACAGTTCCTATCAAATTTTAATGTAATTGATTTACAATGTTTAAAGCTGTCATATAGAAACACAACTAGATAGTTACTGAACACTGTCTACATTTGTTAAAATTGCTTCATATGTTAAATAAAATAAAGTATTAATTTTAGAAAATATCCTTGAATCGCCAACTTTAAAAGGATTTAAAATTACTTATTTGTAATTCATTCTTGTTTTTTTTTATTTCTCATCGAAAGTTGAATTAAATGCCCATCGAGATTCGTGTATTAATACATAACAACATCGAAGGATCAGCACTGATCATAACGAATAGTAATAAAAAAAAAAAAAAAATAGTATTGAATGAAATTAAATATCTAGAATGAAAGTGAACTATTCCCATATTTACTTTACACCATACGGTAACTTCAAGGTCAGAAGTATGAAGAAAGACTGGATCAACTGGTATTTTGTTTCAAAAAAGTGTCATAAACCTTTTCTATAATAATAAATCGAGCAACTGTCATTTTATACCAATTATTTTCATCAACTGTGTGTATTTGTAAGCAATATACAAACGTATAACAATATTATGAAGTTGGTATTCAATTATAATTAAACACTCCTAATAATATGAGACTAAATCATAACTATACAGATTAATTTATAACTCATTCACTAATGGTAGAATATAGAAATACATATTTTGTGTATTCAATTTTAAACATATTATACCTATAATACATAAAAACAAAATGGTTCACAGCATGAATTGGTCTTAAAGGATCGTCAATCCATTTAGTACAAAAATATTACCCTTTAAATGTATTTTACATTCATGAATAAAAAAGAAAAATATAAAAAAGAAGACACGCAACTGTACTGCAAGTTGCAACCATAATTTTACCAACGCAGTCCTACAAAATATTTGCGTTTTCCGTATATATTTTTAATTAATTAATTATTTAAACTTGCATCAAAACTTATTTTTAACTGATTATGCATACATAATTCATTATTCAAAACTTTTTATATTATTCAACAATTATTGAAACTACAAATTTTCCAAATTATTGAAAAGTTAGTGAAAAGGTCAATATTTTATAAAATTAATAAAATTACATGATGATAATTGATAATATTATTTTAAAAAATGGTTAGTGTATTAAAAAACATAATACATACTATTGCAAATACCCATATATTTAATTTCTCTATTCAAATCTATAAAATATTTATGACTATTGATATTTTTTTTTATAATTATTTAAGTACTTAAAATACTTAAACTAAATTGTACAATTTAATATCTTTCATAAATAATGAAAAATTTGTTTAATGGAATGTTCGTTGGTGCCAAGTGCGTCGTGAAGGTGCTCGGGTATATAGAATTTTTGTCGGGCCTCTTGTGTGTCTCTGCATTCTGTGATACCTAATGTGTTTGATTGGAGTTTTATAGCCGCATGTTTTGCAGGTTCTTCGTAGCTCTTTTTTTTATAAGATGGGCATGTGTGGAGCGCATAATATGACCTATTCTAAGGTGATTTAGTACAACTTCGTCTCTTTGTTTGAGAGACATTGAATTATTCTATTTTTCTGTTGTTCTTTTTATTTTATTTAGAGTTCATTTTTAACCATTTATTTTTAAATCGGTTATAGTTAGTTTTTTTGATATCTTTGTCTGAGTTTATATTCTAGAGATGTTGTTGATATGGATTGTTTGCTTTTTCCTTGGCAAGTACACCCGTTTTTTCATTACCAGTTATCCTACAATGCCCGGGTATCCACGAGAAAATTATGTTATAGTTGAATTTATTAGTCAAGTTGATTATTTTATTAATATTAATGAGGCTAGATATAGTTCTCATGAAATCTGTTGAAATGATGTACTTTTTACTTTGCAAGTAGGCACTTATTATATAGGATAGGTCTGTATAAATAGCAAGTGCCTCAGCTGCTTATATGCTAAAATCAATAATCATCCGACAATCTCTCAGAAAGTTCGGTTTGTTTGATAATTGTCTCAATTATGTGTACGTAATCTGGTAATTACATTTTTGTATGTATGATTTGGGGTTTCTTTTTTGTTATAATACTCAAAATTAACGTATCCTGATATTTAATGAATATTATGTCTTTGTCCATGGTGGCTCTGTGAAAATTTCTGTTGTAATTATATTTTTTTATTTCTAAATTGAGTTCTCGCCGTTTCTCTTTCATCTTTTAGTACATAGATTGAGTTAATTTGTTGTTTTTATTAAACGTATTTTGAAATAGATTAAGGAAACTGTAAGATAAGTTGGTTTATTCGATGATTTATTATTTTACAATATTATTTTTATATTAAGTAGTTTGTGATAAACATGTTTTAACAAAAAAAAATATACCTCTATTCCAAAATAAAGCAAATATTTATATTAAAAATATACAAAATTAAATGTCGGGTGGTGTATGACAAGTAATTTAATTGAATCGAACTAATTGTGCACCATTAAGATCAAAATGCATTTTTTGAAGTTGTAATGGATTATGATTATATATAGGATTACTGTTTGTGTACAGATCTGATGTGATTTTCCTCATTTTCTCGATCCATAATTTCTACGTTTGGTATAATATAACAAATAAAATATGGTCTTCTGTCTAGAACTTTAATTGTACCTACATACCTAAGTACAAAACTTACAATTATATATAGTATTAACGGACCATTTTTGGAATGTTTTAAATATTTTACACTTTTGAGTTAGTAGTAGATAAACATGAACAAAGTGAAACTTATATCTAGAAACGTCCCAAAGTATTTTGTTTACCCCAAGTTTCAAATGTCGTTGAGTTGCATTCATCACAGTACACAAGTTTTTGAATACGTGATACGCTATTGTATGTGTCCTAATATATTGTAACACCAATTGTTATTCTGTAATGTAGACTTCATAAAAATGTTTGTTCTTATCTTTTTGTTTAATTTCTATTATAAGTTCAGTAAATGAAGATTGTTTGTTCCAGGGTCCACCATTTTTGACTTCATAATATTAAACACAACGTTTTTCAATGGAAATTTCAAACTATATTCATAGATATATCATGATTCAAAAACTCTATTTATCTTCTTAAACTCTAAAAACGATACACAGAGTGTCATTGTGATGTATAGTTTTTAAGTCTTTTTAGTTTAATTGTTTATTATACTTATAATATGTTATTGGGTACTTAATTAGTTATTTTGTATCTTAGGTGATTTCTTTTTCACTGTTAGCATATTTATAATGGCTTTATTTCCGATTTTCCAACATTTTCCAAAACATTCAAAATGTTTTAATCGCAGAAGTGGAATACAATAAAAAAATGTAGGTACCTACAAATATATTAATGCCAAACTATAATTATATCATCACGAATTCATAAATTTCATCATTTATTATAAGTCGTTGTTTAGTGTTCGTTTTATAGCCATTTATCGTAGAGTACAATAATATAACACCTATTTTGATGTTAAAACATTTTATAAAATATGGTTAACATTAACATATTTATGTAAAATTGTGCATTCAATACATTCATATGACTGTGAGTCATAACTCATAAGGATTTCTCGAAAGAACCTTTTTTGGTTTGATTTGAAAATATGTAAGAATTAATATTATATTTTATAATAAATTATGAAAAATATATTTCATTACGTTTTATAGACATGTGTACTTAGTAACTATTAATAGTGAGCATTCTACTAATGTAGGTACAAATAATTGAGTTGCATAACATATAACTTACAACTTACTAATCGTTAATCGATCATAACATTCATATAAAGGTGATCGAGGACGTTTCAGTGATAAAAAGTATTCTGTCAACATGTATTCTGATTCAAAGGTATTAATTACTATAAGTAATTTTCAAAGAATAATTTTTAAGTATAACTTATTTATATGTTATTAATGCGATATATCTAGTTTTTTTGCAAAATGTGTATGCACATTTCTAACAGAAAACATATTTCGATTTATTTAAGGCAATAACATAAAATTAAAATCAAAAAAAAATCAATGCATAAGATACATTGTTTAAATACAATATACATATTTGATTTATCTTATTTTACAATTTTACTTAATATAATTTTATTTTAGTAAAAACGTAATTAAGTTTGTATTGAATATAATATGTATGTGTACTACCTATGCATTGTTATTGTATATATATAATATATATGTAGTTCTTAGATAAAAACAAAAACAAAATATGAATATTTTTGTTCTTACATTAAATCTCTTACCAAGTTCAAGAAAAACCCAATAATAAAAAGAAGATAGTATATATGTTTTAAATAATAATTGTGCAAAGAAATTGGAGTCCAATTATACATTTAAGTTGCTCACCTCGAACTCTGCGATCATCGGTTAAGAACGCTATTCACTCAAACACAACTATCACTAATGCGTGTTATCGGTTAGCGTACAGTTCGCAAATCATTTTTTGCAGAATGATATAAACTTATGTTATATTGATTGTTCTATTAAAAATTAAAATTAGTACAAAAGTAATTTCATTTGCCTAATATAGTGGTGGATAAAATTGGATACGTGTTGGACGATGTAATCTTCTGTCGCATGGAAAACATGAAAAATTGTCAGAATTTATAATAATAACTGACAATAATCTTTTACTTGTGTGGTGAAAAAGTTTCATCTTTAAACGGCAAGAGGTAAGTGTCAAATGGCAGTATTAACGATAACACTATTAACAGGTAGTTTTAAAATATTTAGAACGTAGAAAGTTAAAATTATATTTATCTGCACGGTTTTTTTTAAGTTCTCAAATTTAATCTGAGCGTAATAATAACATTTAAAACACTTTAAGTGGTTTTCAATGTTATAAAGGTTGAGTAATATTACATTTAAATTAAAAAGTCAACAAAAAAGGTATTTTATTAAATTTAAACAACTAGGAGAACAATTATTTTATATTTGATATATGTTTATTCACTACATTATATTCTATTTGACGAACTATCCCAAAAAAATATATTATATCAATATTTTTTTTTACTGTGGAAGGTTATGAGCATTTTTTTTTATTAAACGTAGTATTTTAAATGTGCACACCCTCACGCCTAGACACGAAAAATTCTTCCAATAATTTAATATCTACTAAAATTATTAGTTGTTTTATTTGTAGATAAGTTAATAGGACATAACTCTTTTATTACCAAACAAAAAATATAGGTTAAACTTTAATAAAAACAAAAATTGCTGAAAAAAAGGGACATCGTTATATTATAAATTATAATATTGTTAAGTATACAATATGTAATTTAAAATAAACAGAGTAATTACTCTGTTGTATGGTTTATTTTGTGTGTACCTCATAGTTGAGTTGGTCGCTGTAATAGATGTGTTAAATTTGAATCTAATGATAATAATTCCATACCTATACGAAAAGTGAATTTGAGCGGAGACAGTGTGACAGCCATTATTATTTATTTTTAATGTCATTTTATAATTTCTTTGTATTACAATTAGTAATGACACCCCAAGACTTTGGTCAGTGGATGGCTTATCTCCTCAAGATAAACTTAATTATAAATTTACTTAAGCCTCTAACACAAAAGTTGTATAGATTATTAACTAATCCAAATAAAAAATAAAATGTATTTCTGTAAGTAATTATCTATTCTTTTAGTAACACAGTAAGTTGAACGAGATTTTTTCCAGAAACATCGAATATATTTTTATATTATTATTAATTATTTCATATATTATTGCTATTAACTTTAAAGTCAATACCGAGAATCTAAAGAGTCTTCATATCTTTAGATTGGAGTGTACCACATAGTAGTATAGTAGTATAATTTATAACTTAAAATATTTTCTTAATTGGATTGTGTACCTATAGAAAAGTATAGTATAGACTATAGACTATTTCAAGTTAGAATCATCAATTTTTGAATTACAACAAAATTACAAATATAATTTTGAGAAATATGGTATATATGTTTAAAAATCAAATTTCATCAAAATGTTAACTTCAAATCCTCATAAAAAATGAACTTTGTGATAACCTTTTTTTATTCCAGTAAGGAAAACTTATGAGGAATCTTGGATTCAATTTTCTATATTAGATATTTAAATAAAAATTATAAGAATTTCGGTGTACAAAACAATTTGCAACTATTCGTGAGTTTTCAGAATTTTGTTAAAATGTGAACTTCAAACGCTAAAAACAAAAATGTTAACTAGATTTTTTAGATTTCATTGAACAATACTTATAGGAACCTTGTTTTTCGTTGTAGTGATCTCAAAACAAAACAATAATATATCAATGTAAATAAAATTTTAAAAAAGGATTCATTGCTCCACTCAGAATCCAAAAGTTGAAAATTTAAAATATCCTATAGATAGCACAAAAAAAGATGATTGAAAACTTGAAAATTATAATATTTAAAATAAATGATAACAGACATATTTGGCATATATTTCAAGTCCTTGCAGATATTGATTTTTAGATAGGTACATTCAAAAACAGAATCCATTCAGTCAAAAACTGGTGTTGCGTAAATATTCCAGTTTTTCTGTAATTTATTTTTAGTTTTCCAGTTTATTTTGAAAAGTACTGAGAACTTTCCCAAAGTAAAAACTAGATCCAATTTGCTAACCAAAACTATCATAAATATTGAAGTTTGAAGCATTTGTTCTGCTATAAAAAGTGTTTTTAGAAAGAAAAAAAAATAACATGAACACACACACATATCATTTAAGATGATCGTTCCGATTGGAATCTAAAAGTAGGAAAAGACAGAGAATTGAATATTAGACACTTGTCTCAAATCAGCTGATCATAGTACTCATTTGATAGTGGTATTTATTATGATATTACATTAATAGTAATTATTAATTAATAATTATTGCTAATTCTGAGCGAAGCACAGTAATTACAACCTCGATGTCTGATATTTCTTCAAAATGTATTGATTGTTTTTTTCTTACTCTCAGAAAAACTACTAAAAATTCATCTTATTGACGTACAGCTAGAAAAAAAACTTGATTCTTTTTAAAAAAAAAACATCATTATTATAAAATGAAACAATTACTTCTCAGAATTTAAAGCGTGAATACCTACATGATTTTCCGTGAACATTTTACGGGTGAAAGAGATCAAAAAGTTTTATATACTCCTGTTAAAGATCAAAAATTGAGTCTGGTGGTACTTAGAAGTGTTAATTTGTCGATTTTCATTTAAGTAAGAAAGAAGTATGAAAACTGTAGAATACTAGCATTTACAATTTTAAAGAAATTTCTAAAATTCAGGATGTTTTCGTGATGTCTGGCATAAAATCGCTTTTTGAACACTATATAATTTATCATTGCTTTTAAATTGTATACCTACTCAAATACATGTCACCATCCTGCACTGAACTTACCGAAACGTGACCTACACTCAATTGCTACACTATATAATATACTGCCCGGCTTATTTTACCGCCTAATAATATTTGTATCATACAATTTTAAATGTTAAAAATAATATCGAATTTCAAATTGCAAATGGAAGTGTAGATATGGTTTTAGTTTTAAACTATCAAAAATAATATTTTTCTCAAAACATCAGTGAGAGAACATGATACTCGTAGACTAATGAATTTCACAAATTTGTACAAACACGAAAGCATAAAATAATATGAAGGAAAGACATTGCATGTTTAAGTCGAATATGAAGTGCTACCCTTATCATCATTGTATTAGGCACACATATTATATTAATACTATGAAATCAAATCTATTTAATATTTTTTTACTAAAGATACTCTAATCAACTCAAAAACTTATAGCAATTATAATGCTTGACCACACAAGCAATACAGAAGGACTACACATATTATTATCTGTGTCGATGTTTATTAGTAGGTTAAACCGTAAATATCCATTAGATGTGTTAGTGTAAATTGCAGAGTGATACTTTTTGTAAGTCACTCAATATCTTGAAGAGTATTTACATTTTTAAAAATATTTGTTTAATATGATTTTAATTTACTTCCAACATTTTTAATGAAATAAAAGTAATCAAGTAGGTAATCGTTGTGGTGTACAGTAGGTTTCGAGTGTACATCGTCATTGAGTAATGAAAGTGTTAAACTTTGATTTGATTTAATTATAAATTATTATATACAATGAAAAAATATTCTGAGTGAAGATAGTTTAACTTTTTGATGACTACGGCATAACTAATATCAAATAATTATTTTATATTATTATATTAATAATATTGAAGTTGTAACAAGTGTTCGTATTTTATTTTTGAAATTCCTAATTATTATATAAATAAATAAGAATTTTTAAACTTTACCTCCCAAATATATATCAACTAAAACCAATTTACTACCAGAAACTTCCCCTCCAAGTTTATGATCTTAGAGTTTTTCTATTAGAAAAAGGGTCTTCAGCCACAAAAATAATTTTTTTTTAAAACACAAACCATTGTAAAATCAATACATTCAGAATCTAAAATATATGTTTTACATTTTTATAGCTATACATTTTCAATATTTTTACTTTTAAAAAAAATAATCACATTCTTAAAATGTCATATTCCAGTGTATATAATTTCTCTTAGAATTTTGATGGATACATTAAAATCAAATGTCTACCGAGTATAGTTTATGTTAAATGTATTTGAAGATTATGTGAGGAGAGTAGTCGACTAATATTTTTTGGGATACCTCTGTTTCACACCTTGTTTCCGTTAATCATATAACATTCAATATTTATAATTGATGAACTACTCGTTCAACATTATATTTGTATACATCCAAAATTCTAAAATAAAAATATTCTGCTTCGAGATATGAAATAAAAAATGTTAGGTATTTAAATACACACATACTTTCTATAAAGAATTATAATAAGAATTGTAATTTTCTTTCAAAAATTTTTTTCTGGTAGATAATTAATTTAAATTACGAAAAATATTTACGAAAACGTTAATATTTTTCAAGATAATGAATGTTTACTGTTAAGTGATCACTCAATGTATTATATAATTTCGTTACCACATATTATTAAAATTTGAAGTGTGAATAGTGTTTTATAGCTATAACGAAATACATACAGTATACTCATAAATTGTATAATCCTCATGAACATTTTAACATTCTGAGTAAAAAATTATTTAAATTATCCATCATCGATGCATGAAAAAGTATAGTTAAAATTATTACATTAGAATAACATGGCAATTAATACATTCACGGGTATCTCACTATAATTCGAAAGTATTACACATTGTAAGTAATCATCGTCATAGCCGACAATATTTCTGATGATGACATAAATTAGGTCCGTTTAAAGTAAGTGTATCTTAACTATTGTGCCGAACGTTTTAATCAATTGATGTAGGCGTGTTGCAGTACTTGTATATGTCTGTAATTTATGAAGAAAAAACACTGGTGTATGCATGCCTTACAAATATTTTGCATAAAATATATTTTAAAAAATATAAACGTTAGCCAAACATGTTTTTACATCATACGCAGTTCACAGTCCACACTGCGCATGCAATACTAATAACAGGTTAAGCGTAGGTCATGCACATAATATGTAGGCACATTGACCTTACATACCTACTACTTGTCAACTTCTTGGTTTCAGTAGGATTTACTAAAAATTAACTCTGCCCTACAGACTACACTCTGTTTATTTACATATACGA